ATCCGTTCCCGAGCATCGCAATCCGGCTGCATCGCGTCACGAACCTGTGCTTTATGCTTTAAGTATGCATATTTGTAATGCTATAATCTTATTGTTGCAAAAATGAAAACAAAATTACAATTTTGTCCTACAGTTATCATCTTTATCTTTATTGATAATCAAACTCGAGCAATAATATAAAAATTAGTTTCAAATAAAAATTGAGTATTATTTAGCTTTAAATATAATATACATGTCTACGAAATTACTAATAAATCATAAAATTAATACTTTCTTATCAGTTCCTTACTCTTAATTACTTTTTCTATTTCGAATACAATCATTATTTTTCAATGTTGGATTCACAATTAATGAAATTCATAATCCTTTATTATATATTAAGTCATACAGAGTACACCTATGTAGTAAATGAAAATTGATTAAAATGGACTGAAATTTTATTATTTTTAATAGCATATTTTAAATAACGAAAACTTTTTGGATTTAATTGGATTTAACCCAAATTCAATGAGATTCAATTGAATTCAATTAGATTCAACCGGATAAAATGAATTGAATTGAAAAACTGCAACATTTCCTAAAATTTTGAATTGAGCAGTATTCATGGTGTGTGTGTGTGTGTGTGTGTGTGTGTGTGTGTGTGTATGTGTGTGTGTGTGTGTGTGTGTGTGTGTTATGTTGTGTTGCACAGAAAAAAACTGATATTATTTTTACGTTAAAAGACATAGAAATGTGTTTCATGCAATTTCTAAATGAATAAAAATATTCCAGATTAAACGAGATTCATTTTAACATTTGCGAATGCATATTTCTGAAAATTTGAATCCTTTTCAATCAATTCTCAACTAAGACAGTTATCTTGTTAAAAAGCATCTTTAGAGAAGGTTTGAGAAAAAAAAAATGAAACGTCTTTAGATAGTCATCTTTTCCTTTCTCTTTAAAATGACTTTTAAATGACTTTGAACTGATTTCGTGAGAAACACGACCTCGAGTTAGTCTTCTCGTATCTCGCCGACTGTTTACCTGCGGTAGTCTGGCAGCCTTCATGAGAGGCGTCAGCCCGGCACGATCCCGCGTGTTCGGATGAGCACCGAAAGCTAACAGCAGTTCCATACACTCCAGATCCAAGGGCGACACCAGATTGATCTCGGAGCCGAAAAAATATCTCTTGTTTGGATTAGCGCCGGCTTCAAGCAGGATCCTCGCAACTTCAACGTGGCGATTTCGCAGAGCCAGACGCAATGGCTCGTCGCACAACATGGTCCTAAATGCATAATCGCGAAAATATATATATTGACAAAGTAATGCATAGCTAATAAAGCTCAACATATCGCTCGGCGACTTAAGGAACATACCAAGTTAAGAGAAAATCAAAATAATTTTATTTTAATGTCAAGAAAATTAAAACGATGATTTTTTTGTTACAAAATTTAATTGTTTATTGACATTAGAAATGAAAATAAAGATATTTTGATTTTTTATAGACTTTATGTGTTCCTTGGAGAGTTTCATCACAGTAAAATTTTCGTAAATATATTATACAAAATAATTTTTAAATAAATTTTTAATGCCAGCTAACGGGAAAAACGCCACGAACTTTTTCCCACACCTAATATAATATGATTAAAAGTAAAAATTATTAATTGTTAAATGGCGTACTTATTTATTTTACACTATTCTCCAACTATTTATGTCATTTAATATCTTGTATAATATAAAATTATATAAAATCACATGTAAATCATACGATATTTAAATAAAATTAAAATTGTAGATTACGCTAATATTTATCTTTTACAAATATTTTAAAAGATTTCGACGATCATCAGTGATCGAAATGGCAGTCAACATAAAAGTCGCACCTGGGAAAAAGTTCCCCTGTATCCTGTCGGTGGTCCACCTTGGCGCCATACTTAAGCAGCAACTTCACCAGATCGAGGTAGCCGTGCTCGGCGGCGAGATGCAAAGCCGAGTAGCCACACTCGTCAGTTGCGTTGATGTCGGCACCACGTACCAGCAACAGCTGAGCGGCCTCGGTGTATCGCTGCCATACGGCATAGTGCAGGGGCCTGAGGCCCTGGGTTACCGGCTCATTCGGTTTAGCACCGCATGCGAGGAGGATGCGGATCTCATCGAGCGGCTGTAGCCGTATTATCGAATCGGCCAGCTCCCGTTGCAAGGGATTGGCGATGCACTCGGTCGGCATCTACATGGCGTAACACGAAAAGATACAGAGATAGAAAAGCGTGCTGAGAGAAAGAAAGACAGGGTGATAGAACGATTGCGTAACGTATACATCATATCGCACATTGGCAGAAATCACCGAGGATTTATAGCAAGACAGTTTATCGAGATAGTCTATCGACATATATAACGTTGTTAATGTTGAAGAAATTTGATCGTCGAATTTGTTATTTTTAATCTAAAATTGAGTTCCTCGTGGAAAAAAATTAAAAAAATCTTTCGCGAGGCTGCAAAAATAGGGACTCAAGTTGAATATGAATCATTAATCTTTTTTAATATCATTTTGACTGCATTATCGTAACTTATTCTGTCTAAGGAACACACTGCGTAAGAAAAAGTCAAAACGACTTTATTTTGACGTCATAAAAGTCAAAATGATAATTTTTTTTTTACAAAATTTGTCTGTTTATTAATGTTAGAAATCAAAATAAAATCATCTTGAATTTTTGTTGATTTCTTGTTGTGTTCTTTGGATGCTTGAAGACAATGAGAACAAATGACAATACACGTGCACGACATGCACTATATATAGTAACATGTATTTAACGCACTTTAATACGCACTTTATTATCGAGTCTGATTTGCCTTACACGACGAGCACGAAAATCCGACAAATCTGCAATATAAGAGGATAGGGAGATTAATAAAAGTCGACTCATTGTAATCCACAATATTACAATGTTAGAAAAATATTTGAATGTTTTGTTTTAATAATTAATTAACGAGAAAAAATAATGAACCGTGTCAATTATTAATTAATAACAGTGGACGGAATTAATTTTTTAAACGAGATTCCACGTATAAAAAATATATTCCTTTTCTATCGTATTCCTAATTTTACAATCTTTTCTACCGCAAATCATAGAACTTATATAACAAAAATATAAAATCGCAAGTATTAAATTGAAAAGAAATAAAAGTGTTGGTAAATATAAATTATAATAAATTTTACAAAATAAATCGTACTACAAAATATATATTATATAAATTCTATATTACGACAGAAAAGTATCTTCGAGGATACAGTACAGAAAAGACCTCGATTCCAGGTTCCGGACATCGCTGACAATGCAATATCACCGTGAAACGCAGTCGCGCGAAGATTTTTCTCCGACAGTCGAACCCGCAACGATCTTCGCGAGACACGATTTGGCTAACGATAGGTGAGTAATGCAATCGCTGTTCTCGCTGCGGGGAACTTCGCTGACGCACGTCACGAGCACTAGAAACTCTGCCAAGAGGACGGCGCAATTTTGGCGATGATGCCGGAAGTCCCGTGGCGTCGTCAATTGAAAATCACGCAGTCTGCGCCTCCGCGAACATCTGGCGTGCTACGCGCTGCACTTCACTTCAGCCAGTTATCCCTTTGTTATGCGAACAATCGCGATTTTCAGGGCCTGAATGATTTTTTTCGAACTCGAGAAGAGAAATGTGCAATTTCAGAGTTTACCCTGTTTTCAAGTTTTCAGAAAAGCGCAAACTCACTTTCGACAACTTTGAAGTTGATTCCTCTCAATGAAGTAGTTTAAATTTAGAGGAAATTTTTCTTTTTCTGAGTCCGTCTTTTAATTAGATTCTAACAACAAAAAGGATATCTTTGATGTCAAATTACATCTTTGATATCTAATTAAAAATTTCATGTAAAAAATTATAGTTCTAATTATTAATTCAAACAAGTTAAATCTGAAAAAATAATGTATAAATCGAAATTATTATGATAACGAAATCTCCTGTAAATTCACGCAAGACATGACGGATTCTAACATGAAGAAGGATGTCATCAGGCTAGATCTTAATTAAGATCGTTTGCGCGCAACCGACCTTTAGATCACTATTACATTAAACCCTTCAATTTCTGATCATTAAATCCAATCATAACATTATATTTAAAATTACATTCTAATTCTAATTATTCTAATTATTAATTTAAACAAGTTAATTCTAAAAAAATAACACAAAAAACTGATGATTATTATGATCACAAAATCTATAAATTCATGTAAGGCATGATTCTTAACTCTTGGATCATTAAAATTGGCAAAAGTAATAATCATGTATCGTACGACGTATTCTTAGTTTTCTCGTAAGATCAAGATTGATCCGACGAATGCGGTAACGACGCAAAAGAGTCGATATTCACTGCCAATTTTCGCCGCGTACATCCGACTATCGTAAACATTTAGTCCGAATTGATGCAAGATCTTGACAGTACCGCGCAATTAGATGTTATACTTCAAATAGAAGTAATATGCTCCATATATTACGGCTTGACACCTGTCGAATCCAATTGAGACTTTCGTTGTAAAATCACAAATTGCCGAGCAGGAAAAATATAAAGTATTAAATATATCAATTCCTAATAGCAATATATTATAAAATAATTGTTTGCTCGATTAGAATAATCTTATCAAGTTATTAGTGCAATCATTTTAATAATTCTATACAGTGCTCTTTAAAATGTTGAATATTACATTATGATAAAACTTGTTAGTAAATAAACTTGTTAGTAGATTAATTAAAAAATTTTAGTCGCCATCTCAATTATATTTTTTTATCCATAGATTGACTTTCAAAGAAAAGAAATTTAAACAATAGAAAGACAAAAAGGACTAATTGTCAAGCTTATACTTAAAATTTTTTTTAGAATAGATACAGTTTCCGAGAAGAGACAACTGTTCGAAAAATTAGTCATAATATCCAACTTACATTGAAATTTCTTAGCAATTTATTTTTTGATTTTGCATCAATCGAAACTTTTACTGTACCAAGGAAAAATCCTATTCGATTTGTCATTTTGACGTCCCCAAAAAATATCAAGAAAAAATCATAATGATTCTTATTTTGACTTTTAACATCAATAAAATTTTGTAAAAAAAAAATCATCATTTCGATTTTCATAACGTCAAAATAAAGTCATTTTGACTTTCTCTTGATTTGACGTGTTCCTTGGGTCTCAGATGGTCGGTGCTGATCGCGACATTCGCAACATCCGATATCGGCGATCGAATCGATGATAACGATCTCTCGTCCGCCCCATTCACGTCGTGAACTTGACGTTACTGCGTTTATTGTTTACTCACATCAAAGACGGTGCGATGCTCCAGCATGTAGAAACGGTGTCACAAGAACTGCCTTCTTCATCGGACGACCCGGTCCTATTTAAAGCTTCGCGAAGCGGCGCGACTCGCTGCCCAAAAATAACACAAAGAGGTACGCACTCAGAAGTCTTCGCGCATGTATCTTTTGACTGCTACGCAATTTTTGTCTTTTAGCGCGTAGACGCGTGTCCACCTTTGTAGCTACTCTTTTTTTCGCGCGCACTTTTTTGTTCTAAACCGCGTCATCGTCTTCATTGAAAGAAACTTCAGGGATAGCCTCCTTTCGCTCACGTGTTTTTATTTTGAAAATATATTGCGATCTATCTGCACAGTAAAAATGTATTTGCCAAAACTGTAGTGATAACACGTGATAATACACTGAGTATATAAAGTCTCAAAATATTCATAACAGATATAAAGAAGTGCATTAAACAAACTTAAAGTTTAAAAAACTTATGTTATCATTACGTACACTTATTATGTACGCTTGAAAAAAAGGAAACATTGTATTTCATTGAGCAAATTGTATTGTGCCTGTCAATGAAATTGAAATTGGTATTTTAACCCACCAGAGAACACAATGTATGATTGACCCCGTCCAAGGAATTTGTTTACAGAAACAATAGCAGTAGTATTGTAACGTGAATGTGTTATAAATGGCTGAAATTTTTACGGGAACATATATGTAGCAAAAATAGTGATAACGAGATTATTACTTATACTTTTTATTATATTACTATTAAAATCAAATGATTAATAATTATTTAATTTTTGTATGTAACAATTCTCGATGCAAATAATGAATATTTTATTTTTCGATATCCTGAATCACAGTCGGGGTTACAGATAATTCTTAACAAGGCGTGTTCGAAACCAGAGAAAAATTTTGGAGAAAAGGTACTAATATTTTAGTAAAAATTTTTCTCAAAATTTTAATACAAATTAAAACATTTTTTAGAAACACTGAGAAAGCTTGGATCTTTAAAAAAATTTTTTTATATATGTGAATTCTGGAAATATTCTACATTTTTAAGATTTTTCATTTAATAATTTTTGAAAAAATGCCTTAGATCTTTCTAAATTTTGTAACATTTCATCAGAGAGAAATTATAAAATACGAAATCTTAGAATATTTTAAAATTTATATGTACTAAATATTCCAGAAAAGAACGTAGACTTTCTGAAAAGTATTTTAATTTGTTGTACATAAAAGATCTGAAAAATTTTCTAAAAATATCATAAAATTTAGAAATTGTAAAGAATTTTGAAATTCTAAAAAATTATATAAAAATTCTAAGAAAAATTTTTATCCGTGCGCTGTAGGTAACTTTTTTTCAGATATTTGGAATACTAGAATCACGTTTGGTGCCACCACCGATAAAAAGAACGTCTCATTTCTGAGATCGAAAAAAAATCAGCAATAAACTATAATTGAGTAACATCTTAGCACAATAATCACTTACAATACGTACCACCTTGTAAATATTCGCGATACACAAATAGCAACGCACTCGTGACAACATAGAGAAAATCCATTCTTACGATATCTTCTTAAAAAAAATAAAGGATAAATTTGAAAATGTTAGAGTTTTGTTCCTATATGTTTTCAATCAGTTTGTGATTAAAAAATCTGTGCATTATAAAATTTTATTGCACAGTTTTCTGTTTGAAATTACATGGTTCGACTGTATTGGAACAAACTTTTGATCTGAAATAATAAAAGATTCGAAATAATAAAAAAAATGAAAACAATTGTAGTTTGAATAAATTTAATTTTAAAAATTAACATAAAAATTAACAAAAACAAATTGTATTTATAAAATTGTAAAATATTATTTATATAAATATTATTATTTACCGTAAAAATTTGCTTATTAATATAATATTAGACATTAGAACGTTAGTTAGAAAAGAACTCGGAAAAGAATTTTCCGTGCCAAATAAATGACAGTAAAGGACAATATTGGAAAATAAAGAACAAAGTTGAATTTTGAAAAAACAAATAAATTTAAAGGACAGCTACCTAAAATAAAGAACTGTCCTTTATAATAAAGGACGTATGGTCACCGTATCCATCCTTCATCCCTTCCTTGCCTCATCGGGTACGTAGATAGAATAGCGTTACAACAACTCTGTGCTGTTCCGTCGTCTACAACTATTCTTTCGAAAAGTTCATTGATCCTCCGATCTGAAATTAAATCAAACCGTGATTTCTCTGAATTTCCCGACTGAACATTCGCGGGACTGTCCGGAGCCATGGATGGCGAAAATACGGAACTTTGTAAAACGTTGACAACTGTTCGACGATGATTTTTTAAGAGTTTATACTTTCAAATTTTATAAGAACGCTTACAGAACATCATTGCATTTTAGACATTTTTAGAACGCTTATAAAATACAATATATATCGTTTCATGAAAGTTCTGTAATGCTAAAATAACGTTTTCCAGCAAAAGATGCTCAATAAACGCGGATGCGCCTTCGTGCAGAGTTCACTGTTAGATTTTTCAAACATTTAGCAAACGCTTTTCTCAATACCGTGAGACAATTTTCTTCTATTCAACAAATGCTGTTCCAATGTGGCGAATTATTAAATCTTAGTAAATGTTTTGTAAGGCTTTTACGCAAACAGCTTAAAGACGCCCAAAAAACGTTTCTTTTAACTCTATAACATAAGTTTTTCTTCCGCTTAGCATTCTTTTACATATCCGATTTTCAAGTTTTCAAGTAGTGCACAACATGGCCACTAGAAGGACACAATAAAATTCAATTTCTCGCATTTAAAAAACCATATCAAATAGAATAAAAGGCACGGTATGAGACTTTTCAATAAAAAATTTTATACTTTTTTTTTAAATAAAATGTCTGCATTTAACAGGTTCAACACTTGAACTGAACGTTCATGTAAACGTTAAACAAACGTTTATGAAATTTCTTATTTTCATCAGAGAATGCCTTCCAAACGTTGCAATGTTGCAATTTTTGCTTTATGATCACATAATTCTGATCTCTGAACGAACTTTCAACGAACTTCCGCAAACGCTCATGCAAATGTTAAACAAACATTTATGAAACTTCTCTTTTCGTCAGGGGAGCCAACGAGAGGCATAAGGAGAGAAGTGTTTTCCTCTTGCGACAAACAGAGAAGTGCCATTTTTCTGAGTAATCATTTTGGAAAAGATCTCATATCGAAATCCTTGTAAATTTTCACAAAGACAATATCGATTACAAGATGATTTTTTTTC